ACCTAAGAACATTTTGGGTGTTTGTACAAGGTAGGATGGACAGCCGGTCACTTTGTGTTGCTCAAGTATTTGGTAGCTGCAGAGTAGGTTGTGTTTATTGGGGCATCAGTGCCGAGAAGGAATTTCCTTTCCTGGCTGAGGTAGAAAGACTGTCCACGTACAGCTTTCTTCCTTTGCTTTAGCATTCCTTGAGGTCGTTTCCCATTTCACAAATGCATCTTTTGAGAACTGCCAGGAAAATGTCTGTCTCGAATGGAAATGGAAATTTCTGAGCTCATAGGGATGAGAACCTTCGGGTCTGTGCTCATGGAGTGAAAAGGGGATTACCAACCAGCCATTCTTCAGCGTGCAAAGCGCTGGAGCAAAGTCTGCAGGGACTCTCCCAAAGTTATTGGCTTTCCTTGGGAAGGGTGCTTGTGAATAGAACTGAATGAGATTGGTCCCGTCCTCCTTAGCTCCCCTGCTGCAAGCACAGAGAGCAGTGAAGCTTTGAACTCCGTAGATGCTTGAATAAATGGGAGAAGTGGTTTTGATGTCTTGCAAACAGGTCTAGAGCCAGTGTTCCTGTAGTACTGGAAGGGAATTAATGGGTTTGTGACTCCATTTGGGCCTGATTTAAAAGCAAGGAGGCAACACTGATTTTTTTTTCCAGTGCCATTTGAAGGCTTCAGAGCTGAGGCTGGTCCCCTGCAGATGGCTTATTTTCACTGGGGACTGTTAAACCTGCCAAAGTGTAAGCGGCATCTTAACAGGAAGATGTGAGATAAGGCCCGCACATCTCTCCCTCCTAATTACTGCAGCTCAGCTGCTGCTGTCTCTTATCCTTACACATCTGAAAGGTGACAATGACAATGTCTTGAATGGCAAAGCCATAGCAGGAAGGCTTTTTTCTTTCTTTTCCCCTGCAGTCTGGAACAAAGAAATTATTCGGCCAACAGTCAAGAAAATCCTCATGGAAAATCCTCCTCCTCGAAGCCGTTTTCCATGAGATCACCAGGATTTCTGTAGGTCTTCACAGATTGTCTCCTCAGTGACTGCAGGTGAAGCAGCAGCCATGAGCTTCATCCTCCTTCCACACTGACAGCCTTGGGAATGGTCACTATGGCAGTGGGACTTCCATTTTTGCTGTCCCTGCGGCTCTGCACCGGGTTGCCTTTGACCATGGCACCTTTTGAAGAAGTTGGATGGCTCTCCTTGCCTCTTATGGCAAAAATCTCCAATGATGTTTTCACAGCAGTGGCTTTAGTTGTCAAAACCCAGACTTTCAGATCCTCATCATTGGGCACACAAAGAAGAGAAAAGGTAGTTTTGAGTATGACATCCTCTTAGAGGATCAGGGGCTGCAGGGGGAAAGGATGGGACTGTAGTTGTGATTGCATTGCAGTGATACAGAAAGAGCAGAGGCAGCAGCAGCTCCCAGTTAGTCTGCAGGTGAAAGTTTGGATTTGGTGTTTCCTGTGAAAATCGGGTACAGGTTGGGTCTCGTGGCAGCCTTGCTGGTTAGCTATTAACTTGTTCAATCTCCCCTCGCCCATGACCCTACCCTGTTTCACTCTATCCCTGTAAATCTGGTTTAAGAAACAGCTCTGTGGAAGTTTCTCTTCTTGTCTCCCTGCTTGTCCTGTTTAGCTCGGGAGAACGTGCTGGCACCCAAGCCTTGGCAGGCACATTTTTAGTGCCCCTTTTGCTTCTGTCCCTTAGAGGAGCCCCATGCCAGGGGCAGCGCAATGGGCTCCAATCAGACACTGGCCTGATGGGATTCCTCTCTGCTGGGAAACAAAACAGCAGGGGAAAGGCAAAGCAGTGCTGAAAACCACAGCTTTTTATAGCTGAGAGAATGTCCTTCATACACTCTTCCTTCTGCTCATGCCCATACATAGCCCCTTTCTCTCCCCATCATATAGCATTTTCTCTCACTGTATCAGGGCATTCGGGCTAGTGCAGATCTAAGGAACAACCTATATTAAGAGATGATTCTGCAGCGGTATTTGCCTTGTTGCTGCAGAGGGCTGCCCTCTCTAAGTACTCAGCTGCCTATTTCTGTTTCTTCTTGGAGATATTTCTTTGAATACACTGCTTGCATCTGCGTTGGACCTCAGAGCTCTTCCTTTCCCCCTTGTAATAGCCAGCTCCCTCAAGTCCTTCCATAGATAGGGAATAAAAGTTGAAGTGAGGGGATGCCTGTCCATTTATATCAGCCTGGGAAATGGTGGATTTCTCTCCTGAGGCCTTTGCCTCGGGCATCTTGCCAAAAGGCTTCTAGTCTCCATTCACTTCAAACACATACAGCTCCTAAGCCAGAAGAAATATGCAGGAAGCTCATGGACTGTGATCAGCTGAAGGGCAGACAGCGTGACCTGGTGCCTCTTAAAAATCAATGAGTTGAAGAGCCGTGACTTTGGGAAGTATGAGCAGGATGCAGCACGGTGTGAACCTGACGAGGCTCACAGGATGATCGGCTCAAACATGGATCTAACCTGGGAAATATCCAGAAATCTGTGCCAAAAGCACTAGAATTTGCGTAAATGAAGTGTTTTGGCAAACACGAGGAATTACCTTCATAGACCCTGCGTACGGGCTTCCTTTCTTCAGAGCATGAGGAATTTCAGGGAAATTTGGAGCTAAAAGGCATGTTTTTAGCAAGGGCGGCGCAAGCAGCGTTGGGATGGACTCCAGGCCTTTGGTGTTCCTGACGAAACGCAAACAACTGCAGGGAAGGATATAGCTCAGATCCTTCTGCCAGCATGCTCAGTGGGCAGCCCTGCACCAGATCTGTTCAGCCTTCCACAAGTGACCTCTGTCACTGACCGGGAACATAAAGAGCCTCAGTGAGCTTTGGCTGAACTGGGCTTTTGCCTGTCTGCTCTAGGGAGAGAGTAAGCTCAGTGTTCCCTTCCCTGCCTCCCCACACTGTGTCTGTGAAAATACTGACTTGATTTAGCTGCCCCCAAGAAGACATTTGGAAAGTACACATTGCTCTCCTGTGCCTGACTTGTGTCAAACATGGGTTACGGTGGGTTCCTCTGTATGGAGCTCAGTGATTTTACAGAAGAGAGAACAGCACCGCTACAGCTTCACAACGCTAAATACAGGGAGGTCTTAGTCTGTGCTAGGGCTCCAGAGTGCTATTCTGAGCATTACAAACCTGATTATATTACATATAGAGTGCAGATGGCTCAGAGCTGCGCTTGGGATATTAACTGTTTCTGTTAAGCTTTGCATTTGAAGGTCCTTCTGGCAGAGGAGGGTGATGCTGAGTGAGCTGGCATTCCCACAGCAAAACTCTGTCTGGGTGGTTGGGAGTGGTTTATATTTGATTTGCACAAGGGGTAACCTGAATTTCAGAGCTCGCTAATTTACAGATGCTCAGTGTAATAACCTCTTCATGGTACTGGTTTTGTAGCTGCAGGTGTTTGGAGGAGGCGCTGATGCAGATGTAATGGAGTGCAAAGGAAGCCTTATGAAGTGCTATAGAAGTATGATAAGGGATAAATCCATGGGTAGTGTGTAGTTTGTCACAGAGTAGGTGATAAAATGGCATTGAATGGGATTACTTCTCCCTGAGAGAGGGGTTTTAAGACTCAGTTCAGTTTGTGTTGAAAGTAGCTTTAGGAATAGTGAAGGTCTTTCCCACTTCTGTTTTGCTTAAGAAATGAGTTTCTCGTCATGATTTACAGTTTGTGCTGTTCTAGATTGTGCAAAAACAAACTTCCTGAAAACCCAAGCAACAAGAATAAAATAAACCCTCTGTAGAAGGCTTTGGTGACCCAAATGAAGCTGAGGAGTTTCTCAGCCTTTGAACACCAGTGCCAGGTGAGCACTGTGCAACTCTTCCTTCAACACCCTTCCTTCGGAGTGGGAAGAGGTAAGATAAACGTGTATAATCTGCCCTGGCACTGGCTGCATTTGACCAGCAGACAGGTATGCTGAATTTGGAGCCTAAATGGCTGCTGATGGAGGAAAAGGGGGTAGGCAGTGTTGGATGGTTGGGATAGGGATATGAGGCACTGGGAGAGGGAAGGGTACAGGCTTCCTAGTGGGAGAAGAAGGGCATTGGAGGTGGCAGCGTGTGCTGTTGGGAAGGCAGCCTCTTGTCTCTCGTTGGAGGCAGTGAGGCTTTGGCTTTGCCAGGGAAACTGCTGTTTGCAGCTCCTCTCTTTGTACCGGGAGAGATGGGACTGTGAGGCAGGGGCTGCCTACTGTGCAGTGAACAACTCCTCTGCAGGAGACAGACACGAGTGTGTGGAAGTGTCGCACGTGCCGTGTGGGTCCGTGTGCCGCTGGTTCGTTCATGCTTGGCTGATGCTGAGGGGCTGAGTCTGTGTTTTATCAATGAGTATCCCCTTCCTCAGCAAGCAAACAGCTGAACTCTTTATCTTCCAAAGGCTTTGCTCTCTGTGGGCTCATAGTGAGGGAAGATGCACACCCTGGCCTTGGTGCTCCTGTGCCTTCTCAGCCGCGTGCTTTTCTTGGACTCCCTTGACGCTGAGATTTGGATGCGTTTCCCTCTTCTGCTTGGTGTTAAAAGGGAAGAATGAGCTGTAACATGGGGAAGCTGTTTGTGTGGTGGAACTCATCAAAATAAGCATGAGGGGTTGGCAGTGGTGGTTGAAAGGGCTTGGATGAGACACGCTCATTGCGCTGGATGCTGTGGTGAGGGGAAGGAGGAAAGCTAGGGATAAATATTGCACGAACAATAAGGGGATAAGGGATAAGCACTACCCTTCAAATCAGCTTCTGTAACTGAGCCTTCCTCTAGAATTCCCTGCAATTTAGACAAATGGCACACATGAGATGTTTAAGTGGTGTTTGTGCCGAACACTTGCGGGACGTGTTCCCCTCCAGCTGCTGAGCAGAAACCCTCATTCTTCAGCATCACTGGAAGCCACTTCGCGCTTTTCTGTGGCAGCAGCTTTGCAATAGGAACCCCTGCTCCCCCCTCCGCCAAAGGATGGCTTTTCCCTGTGAAGGAAGCCAGCGCAGCCAGGCAGACATTATCCCTTTGCCGGAAGGAGGGATCCAGGCTCCCCAGGGAGGAGGGGACCGGGTTGGGGGGGAGTGAGTGATTCATTGCAGCTGGCTGCAGTTTGGCCTCCTCCTCCTCTCTTTGCCCTGGGTGCCAGGGAGTGACAGCTTGTGGGCAGCGGGCCAAGCTGTGAAAAGAGAGTGTGTGAGGCCTTCAGCTTTCTCATGCTTTATCAAGCTGCAGAGAATAGCTCGATATTCAGCCAGCACTGGTGTGGGTCAGGAGAATGGAAACGCGAACTTAACTCCTGCCATGCTGGCTGGCTGCTGACCGCGCGGAGCGAGGGTCCCTTTGTGCCGCGGGATGCGGGGCAAGAGGAAGGAAACGCGCTTTGGTGCAGCGGTGAAGGTATCCTTCTGTCAAGTGGGACTTGTTGGGAGTGTGGGAAGATGGAAAGAGCGCTCTCCTCTCGTGGCTTGCCGCCTGTGTGCTGGTGGAGGATGGAAACACTGGAAGGTAGGGCAGCAGGAACGATGGGTGTGCTGGGAAAGGATGAGGGACTGCGGCGAGCAAGTGGCAGGTCTGTCCTCGGATGTGCTTCCGCTTTGCTGAGGGCTCTGGGTGCAGGACAGCAGTGCCTGTCAGTGCAGGGAAGCAGGATGGGGCCAGTCCTGGAGCTGTAACCCCGTGCTGCCAGCAAGGCATCCCTCTCTGTCGAGTGCTGCCCGCCGGCACAGAGAGAGTTAAGCCTTCCTCATGGGCTGGGGGGGAGCTACCTCGGGGTGTTGAGCTCCATTCCCACGGCTTTTCCTTTCTGACCAGGGCTGGGGGAGGGATCCTGCTTGGAACAAGTAAAATGCCCTCGGGCTGGAAAATAGCACCCCCCTGCCCCCTCCAGCCTTGTGTTGAGCTTGGAGGGATTTGAGCTTCATGGCAGGCTGGACAGGGGCTGCTGGCCAAGGCTGGGGTCTGGTGTTGCTTGGCTGGCTGCTGGGTAAGGACATGGGTTTGTTTCCATCCTTTAGGCAGACTTAGGTGGCTTTGCAAGCGATGGAGTTCCTGCCTGGGGGACTGGAATAAATCGCTCCTTGTCTGGAAGGATGTAAAGTAGAAATCAAGTCCCAGCAGTTCCCTGAGCAGATCATGGCACTGGTTAATGTGCAGGTTTGGGGCCAGGCGAGAGCAGCAGCATTTGAAGGAGTGTCATTCCCTACAGGAAGCTTCTCCAAGGTGTAAGATAGCAGGGCCCCTCTTTCCTGATGCTGACTCCACCTTCTCCTCCTGCACCACTTTGAGCTGCTGGATTGAGCTGTTTGAAACCCTGAGGGGTGGGAAGAGGGGGAAAAGCAGGTGGAAGTCTGAGGGGACAGGGAAGGGAGATAGCGGGTGCTCAGAGCACAACCTGAATCCTGCCATTTCCCCATCAGCAGTGCAGGGGCCTGGGAGAGCAAGAGGGCTCTGCCACTTCCCGGTTTACTTTGGAGCTGAGTGTATTAGCATATTAGTTATTAGTGTATTAGTAGAGTTATTAGTGCATTAGGGTACCCCTCTGTGAGGGGTCCTCGTCCTGGTCAGCATCAATTTCCCAGCAGAGGAAGAAAGGAATTGGAGTACCTGGAAGTCCTCTCTAAGGTTAAGGTGTGCAGTCCCTATTCCAAACCACTTAATTGTGGCTGAGCTCTGCTTTCAGGTACACTGCAGCTCTTTGCTGCATCCATTTACTCCCTCAGCAATGGGCTATATGGCAGAGGGGGAGCTGATGTGAGCCACATGATGGATGCACAAAGAGAAACTCTCTCCTGCTGTGGCAAAGCTTGGGACCCAGGTGCGGGGAATGCACCAGCCAGAGCTGGCTTCTCCTGCAGGGACAGGGGGTGTGTTCCCATTGTGCCTGCGCTGGTTTGCTCCTGTCAAGCCTTTTCTCATTATTCTTGCCTTGAGCTGCCTTGGGCCTGAAGGCTCCAGAAGGCTCTGTAGGCTTGCCCTTGAGAGATGTGGGGTCCTTGGAGAGTGGCTGTTCAAGGGAAGCCCTGCAGTGGGCTGAATTGAGGCTGTTTCAGGCTGCAGAGCTCTGAGCTAATCTCCCAGAGGCAAAGACATTACTCACCAATCAGGAATGTGTCTGTATTTTTCCTAATGAGAACAAAACATTTTATCCCCGTTCATTAGCAGAGGGTTAGCGTGTACTGTTGCTATGCCAATAGACTCCTCTCCTCCGCAGCCGCAGCCGCACTGGGGGTGTCCTCCCTGCCATGGTGAGGAGGGTGAACTGAACTGCAAGGCTCATTCTGGCAAGAAAAAGATTCCATTGTTTTCCCAAGGCTGCCTGGACTTTGTGCAGCTGGCCAGGCCTTGCCTCCTCAGGGGGAAGGGAACCACAGCGGGAGTCAAGTGCAGCAGAGATTTAATTTATTGCAAAATTAGTCTTTTCACTTCATGTTGGTTTTATTCCAGGTTAAGGCACCCTCTTCAATAAGAGAAATGAAGGTATCCCAACGTTCCCAAGAGTCCAGATGGTAAGCAGGAATGCGCCGGGAGTCAGCACTGGGATGTCCATGGACTGCTGCAGCCCGCTGGGCTCCTCCGTGTTCCTCATCATCTCAGTGTGTGTGGCCGCACAGAAATGCTGGGCAGCCTCTTGATGCTGCTGCATAACGAACCCACCTGATGAACTGCAGCACCCGTGGTTAGTTGGAGCAGTGGGTTCACCAGGCACGTGGTCTACTGGAAAAGAGTGAGTGGCTGTATGTGAGAATATGCACTTGTTCCCTTTATTGCAAGGAAGCCCTATGAAGGATGGAGGGCATCTCTGTCATAGAAGCTTTGATCTGTAGGGTTCTGCTGTAAGCGGATGTATTTACTCCAAAGGTTGCCCATCTGTTTGCTTGTCATTTTTTGTCATTGTCCTGGTGGTTCTCCTCAGCTGCCCCCCCTTTTCTTGAGGGACTGGTTGGGATTTCTGGGATGCAGTGGTGCCTAAGTCAGGCTGCTATATACCTTCTGCAACAGTCTTCTTGGCACCTCTGGTGCTGCACTTCCATCTCTGTTGCGATGTCAAAAATAACTATGAAACTTGGAGTTTTCTATACAAGGGAATGAATTGATAAATTAATTAAATTTAAAAAACAGAAGCAAACACCACAAAAAAAAGCTACTTTCTGAGGGCGATCTGTGGCCAGAAATGAGTGTGACCAGATCTGAAGACAGCCTCCTGGAGCAGGGCTGATGTTCCTATCTGGCTGTCAATCACCACGGAGTGTGATGAGCTGCTTTGTGCTGGCTCAGCTCTGCGGTGTTGACAGCTACAGACCCTTGAAGACATGTCTCCCTGAAAATGAGTTCTCCTTTGAGGCTGCTTCCTGTCAAACAGGCTCGTTACAACTCCCATTTCAGTTTGCCTGGCGAAGCACTCTGTGAGGGAATGTGTGCAATTTGAATATGGGAATTTGAATATCAAATGTGGGGTGGTTCAGCAGAGATCCCAGACTGAGCGAGGAGCTGGAGATCTGCAGATCTGCATGAACTTCTGGCTGGGAGTGAAACCCTGGCACCTGGACAGTAGGAACTGATTTAGATGAGTCACTGACTCTTGCAGTGGAGAGATGAGTATCAGGTTGGAGCACTGGGAGTACAGGAGCCTTTGCTTGGAAGGATGTCTGCTTGTTGGACTTGCAGCGATAGCAGCAGGAGGGCTCAGCAGAAATAAAACCAATGAACAAAGCCAGAGAGCAACCCCTAGCCCAGACTGCTCCGTGTGTGCAGCCCATGTGGTTTCAGCTTGGTAGTAGGCCTGGATTGAACTCTTGGATGGTAAAGAGCAAGTCTTTGGAAACTGTTTTGCTCTGGAGCCTCCAAGAATAAATCCTGAGTACATATAACACAAGGATTGGTGAGTCTGGTTTCCTCAGCTCTGCAGTGCGCTGGGTGGTTCAAGTAAAACCACTAAATCAAAGCTGTTTGAAATAGGGAATGAGTGAGTACTTGAGATGACTTGAATTTAGGCCAGTCTCATCTGGATCCTTGCTTTCAGGGCACATAAAATAAGACCATAAGGAGGACAGAGGTCTATAAAGCTGTATTTTTGAGTTATCAAGTTGATTCTGTTCAGATCCTATTGAAAAGGTCCTCCAGCAGAAGTGCACTAGAGGACACGTTTTTTAGTACCTTTAACTGCAAAAGATCATGGCTGAGCAAACTAACTTCTGCAATGTGAGTGATGGTTATTATCTGAGTCGTGCTCTACTTCATTCTTGTGCAGCCAGAGTAGCAATTTGGTGTTACCTAGGAGAGTGTTACTTGTTCCTTCCCCTGCTCTCCCCTCCTTTTTAAGCAGAAGGAGCTGGTTTTCTGCCCTATTTTCTTCTATAAAGATAAACATTAAACTTGTGCAAGAATTCTTCTGGAGAATCCCTCACCTTTGGGGACTGGAGGGCACATTGCTCGAAGCTGTGATGGTGTGTTTTAGCTGTAGACATTGCTTTCTCATTGCTTCCTATGCCTGGCAAGCAGTTCTGTGTAGTGCGGAGTGGACAGAATATTGGGGGGTTGGGGTGTTTCTAGACCTGGGGGCACATGTTTCCTTCATATGTGATGTGAAACCTCTTCACAGCAGCAAACTCCAGCTCCAGTTCCTAATGTGCTGTTTCAATCAAAGCCTAGTCCAAATGGCACCTTGTTGTCTTGCAGTTCTGCTTGAGATGTCTCCCAGTGCACGCTGAGCTCTTCTCCACTAGGTATGGATGCCCCATTTCTTCAATGATCTAACCTTATAACAGTTAGATTCGTGTTTTGGTAGTATCTGAGCTTCTCTCAGTGGCAAAATAATGTAGACCCACACAGATCAATTCCAAATCTCTTTCTACTTTCTGCCTCTCAAAGCAGGTGCTTTTAGAACCTTGAGAGAAGGGTTCTCCCTTTTGAGCAGGACTAGCTATGGGCCCTTTGTGTGGTGAGGTTTTCCTTCTAACCCTTAGAGAATGGTTGAGCTTTCTAGAGCATTAGGAAAACCATTGCATCTTAAGAAAGGTATCTTCAGTAACCGTGAGCAGATGTGAGGATTACCTTCCATACAAACAACAGAATAAGCTGGGAGTGTTCCACCTGAAAAGCAATGAGTGATGGTTATCTTCAAATCCTGACTGGCATGGAAAGGTCAGAGGGGAAGAAAGCTTTGGGTGTTTTGCCTCTTCCATTATGAGTATGAATAGCTATTGAATGGAGCTAGCATGTAGTAAGCTTAAAAACAAATAACAGCTTAGTCCTTGATGTGTGCAGTTAACCTGGGAAGCTTCTTGCCACAGGATGTTGTGAATGCCAGACATCTGTGTGTGTTTGAGGATACAGGGCAACTCCATAGAAGAAGGAGCTATTGAAGGTTACTGAAGGCATAGAAACCACCTCTATCCCAAGAATTCCCTGAGCTGCACATTGGTGAAGCCTGGGAAGGCGTTCGGGGAGGTAAAGTGCTACTATATGCTTACTTCATAGTTACGTTTCAGGTCATCACCAGAGCCAGCCAGCTGCTCCTGTGGTGTGGGAGGGGGTGATACAAACGGGACCTGTGAGAAGTTGTGAAACTAGTAAAAAGACTGGCACAGCTTGTGTTGTAGCTTGGTTCTGTGTGTTTGTGATGTGCTGCGTACATCTCTTGCTTGCTAAAGGCACTGCCTGTGGGCTGTTGGAGTCTGCAGCCTGTTGACTTGAGTTTGCAGAGAGGTTGAGAGTGTATTTCTGGAAGCTGCAGTAGGAAGGGTGGTGTGAAGTGAAATATTCTAAGCAGAGAAGCTGATTTTCTCCCTTTCTCTGTGCCATCTACTGCTTCTGTGGCTCTGAGATGGGATGTGTTTTACTGAGTTACAAGACTGCTGATAGCCTAAATCTTATTTGTTTGAATTTCCCCCCATCAAAAGAGTGTTTCTCTTCTTGCAATGGACTTTAACTTTGGAGCTAAAATGGGTGATAAGCAGATGTATGAATAGTACAATCCCTGTTCCAAAGCATTTCCAAACTAAAAATGTCATGGCTTACGTGAGGTTCATACCCTTTAGAAGTACTCAAAGCACTGGTCTTATTTTAGGTCATTTAAAAATAACATTTAAAAATAACTTGGAAATAAGGCTCACTTGTAGATGCTTCACCCTTGAAAGTCTGGTCTTGCATTTGGTTTTAGATGCTGACCCTGCTCAGAGGGCACAGTACAGACCAGCCTTTTGTTCCTTTGAACCTTTTTCTTCTCTTTCAGAAGGAAAAGAATGATGTCAGGTCAGGCTATTGGTCTTTTTGTCCCTAAGGCCATGGTCTCTGCTGCTGGGTACTATCCTTTTTGTACCATAAATCTGTTTTTCCTGTCTCATGGACACTTTTGTTCCGGGGGTGACCCTGGCAAGGTTGCATTCTCTTGAAATGCCAGCAGTCAGCCAGTACAACTGCCTGAAATGCCTGCTCAGAGAGTTTGCATTTCAGACTAACACTGTAGTTTATGCAGCAGACCTGTCAGTGCATCTCTGTGGCCTTAGGGTGAAGGTCTGGGCTTCCCTGAAAGGCAAAGGGGAGAGCCAGTCAGTCCTGCCCAGCCAGTGGCTGTCAGACTGGGAAGGTGGGAGGGTGAGGGTGGCAAACCAGATGAGAACAGTCTCGACCAAAAAGCCTTTAAGATTCCTGGCTGCTATGAACAGGTAGCCAGTTCTGAACCTCAGGCTCCGATTGTAGGGTGGAAGGGTATGCTGCATCACTGCCAGCCTGTGACTCCTTGACCACATGGAATCACAGAGTCACAGAATGATTTGGGTTGGAAAGGACCTTAAAGCTCATCCAGTTCCAACCCCCTGCCACAGGCAGGGACACATTCCACTAGAGCAGGTTGCTCCAGGCCCCATCCAACCTGGCCTTGAACACTGCCAGGGATGGGGCTTTACACTGTTGCATGTGCATCTTAAGAGCCCTTCATGGATGGGTTCCTGTGCCACCGTTCTATGTTGGGCTACATTTGGAAGCACAGGATATCAAAGATCCCGGCCTGCGTGGGAAGTCATTCATTGTTTAGGGCTGTTGAGACTGGTACAAAGTTGATCCTGGCTCTCAGGACCTCACCAGCCTGATCAGTCTTCTGCAGTAGTGCAGTGGGAGCTGTTGTGTTTCATACATGTTCTGAGCAACTTGGGAAGCTCCTCAGGCTTTTTGAACCACATAGTGTGTTGCTATCTGTTCCTGGCTTTATGACAGCCTTCTTCTGTGTGGAAGAATATGTCTGGCCACCTCAACTTGGATCATTATCTAGCAGACCTGTGTAATCTAATTACCAGAATATTGAGTTTAATAGTTTGTAGCTGACTACTAAGAGCCTTCCAGGCTTAGGCACTAATTTATGGAAGATAAATTGATCAAAGCTTCATTTCTGATAATGCTTTAAAATGAGTTGAGTAATACAGGGTAGACTATACCCCAGCTTGGTTTGAAGGCAAACCACAAGCAGATTGTGGTAGTGATGTGGAATTCTGTTGATTTTGCTGTCTCTTCT